GAGTGTCAGGGGCAGGGTGGCGAGGTGTGTGTGGGGACTCTGAGGTAAGCACTGGTGACAATAGATCTTAAAGCTCTCTCCTCACTAGAAAAAGAAATTTAACGGATGTTAAATAAACTTATTGCTGCAATCATTTCTCAATATAAACATATATTAAATCATTCCGATGCACACCTTAAACTAACACCACGTTATAGGACAATTTCATCTCAACAGAACTAGGGGGTGGGGGAAAAAGCTGGGGACAGTGCTCCGCGATCGCGCACACCTGGGGAAGGTGGGAGGGGCAGGGCCCAGCATCTCGGTTTTTTCCAACCAAATTCCAGTACAGGCTTCTTCGGTGCAGGCCACGCCTCTTCTCAATGGCCATCTCTACCTCACCTTCTCACTGCCATCTCTACCTCACCTGACCTTTGCTTTCTCAGTGACGACTTTTCTGGCTTTCGAAGGCATCAGTGACACCTGCCCCCCCCCTTTCCGGGGCTGCCAGCGCCCCAGCTGGCCCAGCACAGGGAGCGGAGGGCCAGGCTTCCAGCGACGGCGCCCTGCTCTGCCACAGAAGCGAGTGGAACTGACAGGTCTTTGCCCTCAAGGAGCCGCACTCCAGGCCTCACCTCCAGGCCGGGAGGAGACTGCTCCCTGCTCACAAGGAGCCCATCGTCCCCACTTACAGGGAAGGACAGGCGGGGCCTGGGGGGCAGGTGGGTGGGATTACGATACCACACTCTCTTTTTGCTTCTGTTGGAAACGTTCCGTAATAAAAAAAATCAGAGGCAGAGACATACGAGCGGTTCAAATCCAGCTGCAAATGGGCAGGACAGACCCTCCAGGTCCCAGGTGCCAGTTTGCAACTGAGCTGCTTCTCACGGGGGTGACCCTGCGGCTCCAGAGGCGGGGGAGGGCCAGCGCGTACATGACATGTTCACACGAATTCCTCCAACAAACTCGGGGACTGCGCCCCCCCTCCCCCCGCCATGTTCGCAGAGTGAGAAAGAGAGAGGCAGCTCAGCCTGTGTGGCTCAGTGGTTGAGGGTTGACTTATGAACCGAGAGATCGTGGTTCGATTCTCAGTCAGGGCACATGCCCAGGTTGCGGGCTCAACCCCCAGTAGGGGGCGTGCAGGGGACAGCCGATCAGTGATTCTCTCTCATCATTGATGTTTCTCTCTCTCCCTCCTTCTTTGAAATCAATAAAAACATATTTTTAAAAAAAGAAAAAAAAGAGAGAGACAGAATGTGAACTCAGGTCTGCCCAACTCCAGGCTACAACTGTGGGCCACCCTGTTGTCTTCTCACGAACGGGTGGGCGTGTCCACGACCCACAAGCTGCAGAGCAGCTGCGCCCGGAGGACAAACCTTAGAGCTTCGCTCCCGCAGAGGAGGAGACACCAGGGGAGGGGCTGGGGGTGGGCCTCACCGGCTGCTCGATGACCCTCAGCACCGTCCGCTTGATGTCGGCGATGGCCTCAGTGTACACAGCTGCCAGTTCGTGGATCAGCTTGTGGTTCTGAGGTAGGAGGGCCAGGTAGAGGTACAGACACTGCTTCACTGTCTCGTCGGTCCAGGGCGCTGCCACCTCTGATGGGCAGGAGACGGGATCAGGCTGGCCCACTCCCCTCCATCCCTTCCCACCCCCGTGCCTGCCCCTTCTTGGGGGCAGGCAGAGAAGAGAGCGGGCCCTGGAAGCAGACTGTCCTAGGGCAGGAAGTCAATCATCAGGGAAATGGGGTGGGACCAGGACTGCCCCCCTTTTAGAAACCTCTGCACTGAATTCCCACCTCGTCCCCTCTGACCACCCATCCACAGGGCAGCAGGTCTCCCTGCCCCTCTCCTGCTCAGAGCACACGAATGCCCTGTGCCCTCAGCTCTAAGTCCCAGCTCCTCAACTTGCCCCCCTGCCAGGCCCTGTGGGGCAGCCTCTGCCCCTGGACTCTGGCTCTAACAGCCCCCGTCCCCCACCCCGAGCCCTCACTGGGAGGCTGTGCCTGGAACGCTGCTGCCCAGCTCTTCCTTTCGCACCTCCTCGTCCTCTGGGCCGCACGTGGCCAGTGCCTCTCGGGGCAGCGTGCCCAGCACCCAGGCTGTGCAGGGCGCCTGTGCTCCCAGGAGGCCCTGTGCTTCCCTCCACAGCCTGCACCTTCCAACTTGATGGTTCACTTTCTTAGGGCCCAGGTCTCCCCATCTGTAGTTCTGGGGGGACCAAGCCTTTGCTGAGGGAACAGGCGATGGTCCTGCCTGGCCCCTCCTGGAGCCCCATGGCTAGCTCTCCTGTCCTCCAGGACATTCTCCTGACCCCTCGGGTTGGGTCAGGTGCCCCCTGGGCTCCTGAGCTCCCTGCTTTCGCCATCCTGGCGTGCTGGTCCTGGCTATTACTCTGCTGTTCTCCCCAGTGGGCGGGGCGGGGCTCGGCTTGGACCCAGCTGTTTCCAGGGTCCAGTCCAGAGCCTGGGTCACAGCACGTGCTCAACAGGCATCTGATGAATCTGCACCAAACCTGTGTCCTTGTCGGCTCCAAACAGCACGGATGGCGGGTTGGGGTGGACCAGGAGCTGCAGGTAGTTGAGGGCAAACTTCTCCACATACTCTCGCAGCTGCTCCTTCTCGTACATGCGCTTGATGAACAGCAGGGCCTGGGAGCGCACCTGCGGGGAGTGGTGGCAGGATGGTGGAGGGAGGCAGCTGAGCCGACGCCGGCAGGGCCCGCGCTCCAGAAAGGCCAGGCCCAGCCGAGTTACCTGCGCCCCCGGCCGTGACCCCACTCCAGTCCCACCTCGCCTCGCCGCCTACCTGCTCAGCCCACCCCGTGTCACCTGCCTTGCTTGCTACCAAACCAGAATGAGCTTTCCTCAGTTCCTCAAAGGGGGCAGCATCTCCCTGGCTGTGGGAGTTGGCAGAGGTCCCCACTGTTTGGAATGCCTGTCACTGGCCATATCCTGGTTCACTCAGACCCCCGCTGGGAGCCATGAGCACAGACAGGGGCTGGTCTTGGGCACTCTGTCCCCAACAGCACCACAGGCCGAGCCGGAGTACACGGAGGGTCTGCTGAGCGAATGGCCACGGGACACCAGGAAAGGGGCTGGCGTGAGGCCGCAGCAGGGATGGGTCCAGGGCCCTCTCAGCTCATGCACACACATGTGCCCTCTGCCCAGAGCACACGGCTCCCACGCCTCCTTCTCCAGAAGCCTTCCTGACCTCCTCCCTGCCCATCCCCCAGCAGATGGGTCAGGCTCCCAGCCACCCACAGTGTCACCGCCCGCTGACAGGTCACACCGCTCCTCTCCTGGTCAGCGCCCCAGGTCCCAGCACAGCGCCAGGCTTTAAGAGGGGCTCCCCAACACGGGCGGAGTAGGAGCAGGAATGGAACTGCCCTTCCTGGGAGGGTGAGTATACATGTGTGTACATCCTAACAGCTTCATGACATCATACGTGGAAACACAAACACCACCCAAGAACTGCTGCACGAAGGGCACCTCCCAGGGGACTGTGGTGGGAGCAGGCTGGGTCCTCAGGACGGGAAGGGCCCGGGCCGGTGGAGAATCACCTTGTCCTTCTCATGGGAGCTGAGGTCCAGCAGGACGTGCAGGTACTGGAACTGGCGGGACGGGCGCTTGAAGATCAGGTCTCGGAGGGTGGACATGCCCAGGTAGGTGCGACTCTGGCAGGAGGGAGGGACCGGGCTCAAGCCGCCTGCAGGGAGCCTCGGTGGCTCTCCTGCCTTGCTCAGAGCTGGACCTGCCCTCACACACCCCTTCCACACGGTCTCGGCTGGGGCCCCTCAGGCCCCACACAGGGCCCTGTCCCTGCCACAGGCCGCAGTGCGCAGGGCCCTGCCCCTCCGCGAAGCTGGGGACAGAGGGAGTCTGCGGCCCTGCCTACCTCATCCTCGCAGTACTTGCGAATCACCTCCAGGGCACTCTCCGTGATCAGGGGCGCCTCCAGCACAACCTTGGTGAAGATCCTGCCGGAGGGAGGGACAGGGAGTGGCTGCAGAGAGGCCACCTAGAGTTCTGAGGGCAGCAGAGCAGGGTTCAAACGCTGCCAGCTGGGTGACCTGGGTGGAGACTTCAACTCTCTGAAACTCAGTTTCTCCCCTTTGTCAATTGGGGACTCCTAGCTCTACTCATTTAATACAGCAACAGCAGGGAAAGATGGGGAGGGAGGAGTTTGCTATTTTAGATGTGGAGGCCACAAAAGAGATAACAACGGAGTCAACGCTGGTGGGTGAGAAGGAGCCAGCCATGTGGAGTGGGGAGAGCATTCCAGGTAGAGAGAACAGGAAGTACCAAGCCCTGAACTTGGCATGTTCAAGAAATAGATGACAGAGGCCAGGGTGGTGAAAGTTTGGGGGTGGCAAGGAGCAGAGGGCCAAAAAAAAGAGCCTAAAGAGGTAGGTAGGGATTGGATTCCACAAGGCCCCAGGGCATGGGAAGGCGCCTGCAATTCATGCCGAGAGCAATGGAGAGCAGGGAAGGGTTCTAGTGGGCAAGCAACAAGCCAGGATTTGCATTGCACAGTGTCCCCTGGCTGCTGGGTGGAGAATGGACAGATAAGCTGGAGGCTGAGAACACAGAGGCAGGCGCACAACCGGTTCCGGCGAGAGATGGGCCGGCACTGCTATTTACAGGTGGGAAAAGGAGGCCCAAAGGGTGAGTGACAGGCTCAGTGAGGTGCAAACAGCAGAGCTGGAGCTCAAGCCCCCGCGGGGTGTGACCAGAGCCCACACCGAGCGCCCTTCTATGGGCCTCCAGCCAGTGGGAGAGAAGGGAGAAGGACGGACACACGCAGGGCTGACTGGGTGGCGGGGAGAGGGAGGTGGCCGGGAACTGGAAAGGAAAGCCGGGACGCAGGAGGGGGCTGCTTGGGGACAGGGGGGTGCAGGGCCGCCCTCTCACCCATCCTTCTGGTCTGGCTTCTCCTGCAGGCCGGAGAGCAGGCGGATGAGGCAGTCCTCGTACTTGTCCAGGGAGCCCGAGGTACCGGCTGCGAGGTAGGCGTTGTACTCCTGGTAGAGCCAGGCGAAGGCCAGGTCCAGGCGGGCCCGCACGTCCTCCAGAATGAAGGACAGGACCTCAGCCTTCAGGCCCGAGTCGAACTGCGTCACGAGGCTGGCCAGGATCTTTATGCGCGCCTGGCAGGAGAGCAAGCGCGTCAGCATGCAGGGGGCAACCCCCGCCCAGGCTCAGCGCCCCCAGTGCAGACCAAGGTTAAGTGAGGAAGGCCAGCTGAGGAGCCTTATGCCCAGCAGGTCCCATTTTGGGGGAAACAAATGAAAAGGAGAAAAAAATCAATCATCATAGAATAAAATGAGTTTCTAAGAGCAGGACCCATGCACTTAAATACACCGAAAAAGATCTTGAAGGATTCCCGAATTTGCCTAGGGACGGGGGTGGGGTGCAGATATCTCTATAGCCTGGAGTTCTTCAAAAATTTCTTTTCTTTTTAAAAAAATAGACTTTTATTGATTTTAGAGAGAGAAAGGGAGAGGAAAAGAGAAACACCAATGGTTTGCGTACCTTCTACAACCCGACTGGCGATTGAACCTGACACCCGGGCAGGTCTCTCAACCAGGAATTGAACGGAGACCTTTTCGTGCCCGGGAGGACGCTCAGGCGACTGAGCCACACCCGCCAGGGCTGGAGACCTTTTCTAACAGAGCGTTTATATACCACTTGGTTAATGAAACAAACCTGCCTGGCAGGTGGCTTATCTGGTTGGAGCACTGTCCTGTACATCAGAAGGTTGCAGGTTCGGTTCCGGTTAAGGGCACATGCCTGGGTTGCGGGCTCGATCCCCAGTAGGGGACGTGCAGGAGGCAGCCGATCAATGATTCTCTCTCATCATTGATGTTTCTATCTCTCTCTCCCTTTCCCTTCCTCTCTGAAAGCAATAAATATTTTTTAAAAAAAGAATAAAAATAGTGTCAAGCACAGAGAACACAATAGCAGCCCTCCCTGCGGGGCTCCTCCTCGCAGCCAGCCCTGTGCTGAGTGAGAGCACGTGCGGTCCACGCACTCCTTCCTCCACCACCTGCGTGGATGTGGAGGACAGGAGGCTTGGAGAAGGGGTCGGCTGGCGAGCGGCCGAGCTGGGAATGAGAGCCAGGGAGGGGCGTCTCTCTGCCGTGAGGTAGGCTCCAGGGACAGGGGCTGGAAAGATGGACTTGGGGGGACAGGGCGCACCTGGGCCGCCCCGCTGCAGGCCACAGCCTTCTCGGCCCGCAGGATCCGCTTCACAGCGCCCAGCTTCATGGCCTCGACCTGGGCGTCGGTCAGGGGCTTCAGGACATCGCTCAGACGGAAGATCTTCTTGCGGCCCCCGGCACCCGCCAGCCTACGTGGGAGAGACGACAGGGACACAGAGACTCAGAACTCCTTTCCGGAGCTCGGGCCCAGCCGTGCCTCTCCAGGCCACGCAGACACCGCACACTGCCTGCCTGACGCCCCTGTGACCCTAAGGCGCGGCAGAGCACGGGGTAACGAGGAGGAGGAGGAGGAGGAGGACGATCTCGTCTGTGTAAAGGGTGTCGCAGGAGAGTGGCCATGAGGCAATGAGGGAGCAGAGATCTGAATGAAGACAGGGGACGATTCGCACAAATTCTAGGCAGAGAGAACAGGAAGTGCAAAGCCTTCAAGTGGAGACCGAGGGGGAAACAGAGAGCCTGGAGGGGCGGCAGACCAGGCATGGCCCCGCTGACTGGACACGGGGCAGGGACCAGCTGGACCTTGGGTCTGTGAGGGAGGTAGTAATGAGGACAGTGATGGTCACAACCAGCAGCACTTACAACACGTTAGGAACCATGATCACGCTCAACCCTAAGTTAATTATCTAACCATGACTGTGAACTCCATTTAATTCTCTCTTGATCCTTAGGGATCGATAATATCCCAATTTTATATATAAGAGGATGTTTTTATGCAGAAAAATCCCACAAACTACTAAGGCCCTGGTCAGTGTGCCAAGTGGCTAGAGCGTCAACCCAGGCACCAAAGGGTGGTGGGTTCGATTTCCGGCCAAGGGCACATGGTGGGTTGCAGGCTCGAACTTCAGTTCTGGTTGGGTGGGTATAGGAGGCAACCAATCCTCCCTTCCACGCTCTAAAAAAAAAAAAAAAAAAAAAAAAAATAGCCCTACTGGTTTGGCTCAGTGGATAGAGCATCAGCTTGTGGACTGAAGGGTCCCAGGTTCCATTCTGGTCAAGGGCACATGCCAGGTTGTGGGCTCGATCCCCAGTGGGGGTCATGCAGGAGGCAGCCGGTCAATGATTCTCATCACTGATGTTTCTGATTCTCTCTCCCTCTCCCTTCCTCTCTGAAGTCAATAAAAAGAAAAAAAGAAAGACCCTGTCTCTGTTTATCTTTGTGTCTCACACACACACACGCACACACACACACACACACACAGGTCTCATACCAGCACCTGCAGGGGGACTCACCGGGGCTGCGTGACAGGGATGATGGGCTCTGGCCTTCTCTTGGCCTGGGGCGCCTCCTCCTCCAGGGTGGCCATGGAGCCCAGGGAGCCCACCACCGAGATGGCCTGGCCCTGGGCTGACAGGCGTCGCTTGATCAGGACACTCTCAGGCTTCACCACCTTCTCCTCCTTGGGCTCCTCCTTGCACTGCTTGGTCTGCTCCACACCTGAGAGGGAGGCGCAAACAGGCTCCAGGCTCCAGGCCCGTCAGACCCACCTGCTCCCATGCAAGCACCTGGCTCTATTCTAAGCCTCAGACACACAACACTCATTTAAACCTGCAAAATGCATGTCTGGAACAAGCAGGCTTTGTATCACTTGGCAACACAACAACGGAGGCTCCGACTAGACATGCCACTCACTGCTGGAGGGGCTATCTAATGGGCGCCACTTCGGGAAGCAGATGGACATTTAATGGCAACCAACATACCCTGACACATGACCCAACAACGCCATTATATTCTCAAAATACACGAGGGCACGTGTGCATCAAAACATGTACACACAATGTTCACGGCAGCTTTACTCACAACGGCCCAACGTCGGAAACAGCCCACAGGTGCGCCAGTGGGACGGCGGGTAAACCAACGGTGCCTGTGCACCGGAGGGAGTGATACTGAGCGAGAACATGCCAACTACGGTTCACACGACAACACGGATGAACCTCAAGAGCTTCTGCTGAGCAAACGAGGCCAGACTTTCCACGACCCATTTATATGAAGTTCAAGACTAGAGAAAACTAATTTCGGAGTCAGAAATCGCGACAGTGAGCACCTATGGAGGGAGGGGGTGGGAGTTCTGACCAGAAGGAACTTTTTAGGGTAGAAATGTCTCTCTCTTCCCACTGCATCCTCATCTGGGTGGTACTTACACTGGTGTGCTCACTTTGTAAAAATTCACACTTAACAGTTACGTGTACACTTACTAGTAAGAGTTCTGTGTTTCACCCTAGCCGGTTTGGTTCAGTGGACAGAACATCAGCCTGTGGACTGAAGGGTCCCAGGTTCAATTCCAGTCAAGGGCACATGCCTGGGTTGCGGGCTCAATCCCCAGTAGGGGGCGTGCAAGGAGGCAGTCGATCAATGATTCTCTCTCTCCGTTGATGTTTCTATCTCTCCCTCCCTCTCCCGTCCACTCTGAAATCAATAAAATATATTAAAAAAACAAAACAAAAAAACACCCGAGGCTCAGAGAGGTTAAGAAACTTAGCCCAAGCCACACAGCCACTGAGTGACTGAGACAGTCTGATTCAACTTAGACATCAAACCTGTCTGTCGGATTTCAAAGTTCAGGGTCTAAAATACTGAGCACTAATAGATCTACAGGATCTGTAACTATTCATTATTATTTAAAATATCTTTTTATTGATTTCAAAGAGGAAGGGAGAGAGATAGAAACTTCAATGTTGAGAATCACTGACCGGCTGCCTCCTGTGGGTCTGTAACTATTAACACCTAAAAGCTCATGTGATTTTCATCTGTCCCACCACGAGGAAGGGCCCTTCCGGTAGGAGGAACCAGGAGGCACAGGGCCAATCCCTGGTCTGAGTCGGCTCCGTGCGACACTCACCGGGCCCCAGTCCTGCGGCCGTCATCTGTGTGGCCATGAGCCGAGCCAGGTGCTTGATCTGGGCTTCGGTGCCTGCCGACTCCACTGGGGTGTAGATGGCTTGGAAGGAGGCAGGCATGACCTCAGGCAGGTACACCATGCTGATGAGGACCTGTGGGCAGCCAGGAAGAGCAGCCTTTCCTTACTCATTGACTGGATAAGCGGGGGCTCCATGCCCAGGCCCCCGGGGAAACGGCAGTGACCATGACAGACCTGGGCCTACTCTCACGGAGCTCAGACCCCTGGGGCAGTCAGAGGGGCCACGAGTAATGACACAGTGTGGTGTGTGACGGGGGAAGGAGAAGGGCCAGGGACAGCTCGGGGTCCCCGCGGAACTGGCACCCAGGCTGAGAACTGAGAGGAGGATGAGAATCGGCTGGCAAAGGGCCAAGTCTTGCTGTGGGAGGGGTATGTACTCCAGGTACAAGAGCAGCATGGGTGGAGGCAAAGGGGCACAGAGCCGGTACCTGCCCGAAGAGGGGAAGGAGGTTCAGTAAGAAATAGAACATGGACCGGAAATTCGCTTAAAAAAAAAAATCAGTGTCCTAACAAAGCATATCCATGTCTGTCAGGAAATTAAAACAAAAGATAATTTCAAACTAAGTTTAAACTTGGAAGTTTAAGCACATACTTAAATGCTTATATTGGAAAAGAAGACAGAAAACTAATAACCAAGCATTTCACTTAAAACTGTGGGAAAAAACAAAGAAAGTAGCAGGAAAGAAAGAAAAAAAGGGGGGAAAAAAAGAAAGGAAGAAAGAAAAAGATAGCAGGATAAAACAGAAAAGGTTACAAAAAGAATATCAACAACAATTAAGAGCCAGTTCTTGGAAATCACTGAAAACAAGCAAATCTATGGCAAGATTGAACTAAAAAAAAAAAAAAAGAAAGAAAAAAAGAGCACGGACACAGAGTGGCACATTACCACAGCAGGTATTGTAAAAGCATAGGAATCCTATAAACAACTTCCTGCCAATTATTTGAAAAGGACAATTTCCCAGTAGAATAAGGATTGACAAGGTACGAGTTAATGGAAGCCAAATCAGACAGGGACTGAGGCAAGTTGAATTTAGGTTTTATCTACAAGGAAACAGAGGGCCATGGCAGGGATCTGAACAGGGAAGTGTCACGACTTGTATGTTAGAAAACGAGACAGCCAGGAAGTAGGCGGGTGGTGCTCCGGGTGAAAGGGTGGGGCCGGGACCAGGCCGGGGTCTGGGGATGGAGAAGAGGGGCAGGATCGGGGGAAGGCAAAGAGCTTAACTCCCAGGTTTCTGGCTTAGCAACTAGGAGGCTGATGTGCCAGGACAGGAGGGGCCACGGCCTGTAGAGAAGTGTAGAGAGAAATGTCATACGTTTATCTTGACATGTTGAGTCTGAGATGCCTGGGGAACATCCGAGAAAGATGCCGGAGATAGCTGCATACCGAAGCCTGCAGCTCACCAGAGAGCTGAGCTGGAGAGCGAACTCCTTCTCGCCGCTATCATGACAGAAGTTCCACCCCTTTCCCAACAGCTAACCCGGTGGGGTCTCCAGGCAGAGAGAAGGGGAGGCTGAGGGTGACTGCTGACCAGCGTGGGAAGACACACTCTTCCACGAACACCCAACAGAGAGGTCTGGGTGCTGCGACAGCCCGACGACAGACGTGAGATTCACCCCCCCAGCCCCCGATCAGCTCAATCCCGCTGTTCTTTCTGTGGAGCAGGGTCACTTGGGGAACCTGAGGAAAATGCTGGCCATCCTGCTCCCAGTGCTAATCTCACACCACTCAGTGCACAAGTCATGGGGTTAACTCTCTCGTTAATACACCCTGCCCCTGGGTGAGAGTGAGAGTGAGTGGGTTTGGATGGGAACTCAGACCACCTAAAGAGAGGCTGTAGGGCCCTAGCCAGTTTGGCTCAGTGGATAGAGCGTCAGCCTGCGGACTGAAAGGTACCAGGTTCGATTCCGGCCAAGGGCACATGCCCGGGTTGTGGGCTCAATCCTCAGTAGGGGGCGTACTGGAGGCAGCCGATCAATGATTCTCTCTCATCATTGATATTTCTATCTCTCTCTCCTTTCTTCCTCTCTGAAATCAATAAAGAAATATATATATTAAAAAAAGAGAGACTGTAGGGGGTGGTGACCAGTGACCCCTGAAGGAGTAAAGGTCAGAGAAGAGGTCCGAGGGCCCCCTGGCCCACACCCTCAGCACTGAGAACAGAGGGTGTTTCAGGACTGATGCCACCTGCAGAGGTGAGTGTGGAGCGGAGGCAGGAAAAGGACTACAGACCCTTCCTCCCGCCCCGTGGGGAGCGGCCCCCGCCTCCTCACCAGGTTGGCCACGTTGTCGGGTGTCAGCAGAGGCTGCAGGAATTCGGCTGTGATGTCTGTGTCTGACTGGCCCGAGATCTGGGCCGAGACCTTCGAGGTCCCCGATGGGCCTGGTTCCAAATCCTTGTCCTCGTCGTCCTCCCCCAGGTTGGGCTCTGGGAGAGAAGGAGACAAGATGCTGGCTCTAGAGAGGCAGCGGGTCCCCCCTCCTCCCCGGGAGCCCAGGGCCCCTGCCTCCGGGCATCTCAGCGGACAGGAGCAGAGCGGTGGGCGAAGACTGGGTTGCAGGCCTGGCTCTGCCATCGAAGGGCCACGTGACCCTGGGAACTCACTGCCTCTCTCTAGGCCTCAGTTCTCATCCGGGAAACGGGAATAAGTCAGCCTAGCCCAGCTGGTCACACGAAGCTCCAAGAGGATAAAAACTGGTGAACTAATCATTTCCAGAGCTTTACTGTTTAAAAACCTCTATCTTTGAAATAGTGCTCAACTTCACCAGGTTCAGGGAAATGTAAAAACCACCCAGTAAGAGCACTTTTGCCTCTGTGATGGACAAAAAAATAAAAAGGCTGCTCAGCCTGGGCTGCTCAGTTGCTTGAGCACTGTCCCATGCACCAAGGGATTGCAGGTTTGATTCCCAGTCAGGGCACATGCCAGGTTGTGGGTTCGATCCCCCAGTAGGGGGCATGTAGGAGGAGGCAGCCAATCAAAGATTCTCTGTCATCATTGATGTTTCTCTCTCTCTCTCCCTCTCCCTTCATCTCTGAAATAAAAAATATATATTTAAAAAAGAAAAGGTTGGTATGACAGCTGTTAGTAGGGGTGTGGACTGTGGAAATGTAAACTGGTACAGCTTGTCGGAACGGCAATTTGTTAGGAGGTCAAGATTTTAAATGTGCACATCTCTTCGACAGAGCCAATTCCGCTTCCAGATATCTACTCTGAAAACGTCTATCTATTTTCAAGGTGAAATGTACAGAGAATTCACGGCACGGACAGCACAGAGAGGTGAAACAGTCTCCATCAGTAGCAACAGGCTGGTTGAACACAAGCCCAGTGGCTCTAGCTCACGGAGAAACACCGATCATGTGAACCTTAGAAAAAAGCGTTCATGAACAGTCATGTTCCTTGAAGTTGTCTTTATAAAAATGGAAAAACTGGAATGTTCGACAGGGTGATGATTTAAGTAATTTGTAATGCTGCATTAACCGAAGGCACATGTAACTTAATTTCAAAAGGTTGAACAGCTCAATAGTGGGCACTTCATAGAAATGCAAACGGATAATAAATGTAAAACAATGTGTAGCCTGACTCCAACTGACGTAAGAAAGCAAATAAACCCAGGATACGGTTTATACCCAGAGGTTGCACAGAATGTCCAGGGCTGGGAAGAGTGGCGGGTGTAAACCCCAGTGCAGTTTTTTTGGAAAACAGTTTGGCAATGGGCATCAAGCATTTAAATGCACCCAGCAGCAATGGGCACAGATTTGATCGCCCCCTTCCCCAGATATGATCTCTGAAACTATTCCATATCTAAAAGAATCCAGGGCTCCTTAGAGAAATGTTGATTCCAAGGCTAGGGTAAGGAAAGTACAAGATGAGTCCAGAATATCTTACGTCAAAAATAAAGAACACTAAAAAAACCCGTATAGGCCCTGGTCAGAGTGGCTCAGTTGGTTGGAGAGTCATCCTGTAGACCAAAAGGTGGTGGGTTCAATTCCAGGTCAGAGCACATAGGCAGGTTGCAGGTTCGATCACCGATCTAGGTGCATGCAGGAGGCAACCTATCGATGTTTCTCTCCCTCCCTCTTGCTTTCTCTCTCTAAAATCAATTAAAAACAAAACTTATAGAGCACATTAAAGGGACACAGTAGCCAGCTCAAAGCCTCAATAAAGGCAATTTGGGCAGCAAAATTAATGACAACAGTAATGGATCATAACCCAGAGAATAAATAAGAACCCACAGATCCATACTGATAATAAAGTGGGGAGAAGAAAACTCTTCCTTATAGCAGAATTCCAACTAATAAGTGTAGAAGGGAAATTTTTCGTAGCCAATATAGCAATGACAGATGCAGACGGCAATCATCAATGGATGTCTACGACCTGAAGAGAAACAGGTATTTTACACAGTGTCTCCCTCAGCTCTACGTACAAGGGAAAGGGGTACTTTCACACCAGAGAAACCAAGCGACCAAAGGTCCATCACCAAAACGGGACAGACCGACACCTTGTGCCGCCTGATGCCACGCAGGCAGGGCACCGCGTCTGCATCGTTCCTGTTAAAGGCACAGAACCTGAATAATGCACTCAAGAGGCAAGAGCAGACAGACCCAAAGGCAGGGCATCCCACCAACAGCCGTCCTGGACGCTTCACCGTGTCAAGGTGGAACAGAGCAAGGCCGAGACTAAAGAAACACGACAGTGACATGCCATGGAGGATCGGCCTCCTGAAGGGTGCACGGGAGGTTCTGGGGCTATTCGTATAACTTGTCTGCAAGTTCAAAATTGTTTCAAGATAAACAGTTAAAAGAAATAGAAAAACAAAATTGTGCACAAAATATAACTTTAAATGCACAAAGCCTTTGCCCCACCAGTCCCATTACTAGGAATTTGTCCTGTGACTGGAAACATTTGCAAGACTGTTATACTATAGAAATCTTTATACTTTAAAAAATGAAATGTCCATCAACAGGGGGACTAGTTTAAATGACCCACATGCACTCCAGACGATTACTCCACCATTAAAAGGATGCAGTAGATTTCTATGTGCAGATATAGAAAGAGCTCCAAGATGATTACTCAGTAAATTAAGATATAGAACATTCTGTTTTGTATGCTTAATAATGGGGGGGGGGGGGGCGCGCGGGGGCGGAATAGATCCCTACCTCACTCCTTATGTCAAAATTAATTCCTTATTTTTTAAATGAATAACACACACACACACACACACACACACACACACATACACACACACACACTTCTTTCATACATGTTCTAGAAACAAACATAAGTGATTTTTAGAAAATTTTCGAGTCAGGAAGGTTGCCATGATTGATACTATCGGTAAGTAATGTGACCATTAAGAATTACTTAAAAAAGAAAACCCACTTAAACGAAACAAAAGAAAGGAGAATTTTACACATACGAGGCTGAGTGTAATACTTGGGGAGTGGTTACTTTTGGGGAGAGGGGCAAGAGGGAGACTATTTTTATTCTGTTCCTGTCTGTATAATTTAAGTAACTCATAATTACTTTAGAGTATACTCTAACTTTAGTAACTCTATTTTGGTATCATTTATTATGTCATCACATTTATACAATGTCATTGATAATACTAATAAAAATGGAGATGAGTTGAATGAAATAACCGAAACTCTTTAAACATGGTCAGCCCCTGTCACCCCCTCCTGCCAGGCCCCACGCGGCTCCTCAGCTCACCCAGCTTCATCTTCTTGAGCGAGGAATCCGAGTCATCTCGAGGCCGCTTTCGGGCATCCTTGCTGCTGGGCATGTTGCGGGTGATCTCGGCCTGGGGCGTGCCCAGGTCCACCAGCAGGGTGGTGATCTGGGCCTGGAACTCTAAGGAGGCTGGGTGCTTCAGCACACTCAACAGGTGCAACTTGAGGTTCTTGCGAACGCTGCTCACCTGAGACTTGGCCAGCGTGGGGGGCAGGTTGGCTGAGGAGAAACAGGAGGTTCCTGCTGTGGACGGAGCTCGGGGCCTCAGTCTCACTCCCAAGCCCCAGCAGTGCTCGCAGGCATCTCCGGAAAGTCCCTTCCCCCTCCAATCGACTGTGTAGCCTTCCCTCTCTGCAAGCTTATGCTCAGCCCCGAGAGGTTTTCATCGGTGTTACAACCTGACGCCAAGGAGAAAACGCACCCTTCCCTTTATCACACAGAATCCCATCTCCCTCCATCTCTGGGCTGGAAATCCCAATATGCCTCCCTGGGGATGACTATAACCGTCACCTTCACCTCCAGAGTGGCCCAACCGAGCTGCCACCACAGCTCCCTGTGGGCCCCTGCCAGCAGAATGACTTTGGAGTGCCTCCTAATAGTCACCTTGCTGAGCGAGCCTCCCCTGCTCCAGAGCAAAGGAGGATGCCTGTAGCTTTGCCTGCCCAGCGTCCCTCCCCCGTTCCTCGGCCAACAACACTCCCATCCTCCTTTGAGGGAACCACCCTGGCTCCATTCTCTGTCCAAGTGGGCAAAGTCTCAGGGCCCGTCAGAGCGCAGCAACCCCTTAGCCGCTGCGATTGGTTCCGATGCAGGCCTGTAATCTCTTCTCGGCCAATCAGAAACAATGAACATCAGGTCATGGACTGGTGCTGGAATGACTGGGAAGGAGACACTCTCTTCCTGGGTTGCCAAGTGAACAGAAGGGAAGCCCGGAGCTGCTGGGGGCCATCTTTGCTCCCCCAGGGAAGAGACACAGAAGGACCCCAACATGGAGAAAATAAACCGACAGATGGAGTCAGAGCCGTGATCTGATGCACTCACATCTCAACTCAACCTTCCAGTTTTGACATGTGCACAAAAGCAGGGAAAACGTACAATGAATCACCATGCACCCACCAACGTTCTGCTTATTTTGACACATGTATCCTCCTCCCTGCTTTTTGGGGGGAGGGAGGAGGCTGGAATATTTTAAGGTATTTCATAGACATCGTGTCATTTCACCCACATGTACCTCAGTATTAAACCAGCACTGAACCAGGCTTCTGTCACACGCAACAGAAAGTTCCTGTGTAACCCAGAGAGCCCTTCTCGGTGTCCACCGCCTAGCGCTCACATTTCCTCAGGGAAGAGCCGACGGCCGGGTAGTGGGGAGGGGCGCGGGGGGACCAACCTACCATGCAGGGTTTCATAGGCCTGAATCACCTCAGACATGAATATGGGCCTCTGGCGGGCGATGCTGGCGAGGGAGCCCAGCGCTGTGGTCAGGTTGATGGAGGAGATGGCGGGGTGCACCATGAACTTGAGGAGCTGCTCCAAGGCTGCCTTGCCCTCCTCCCACAGCACGTCTAATGAGGGAGAGAAGGGAACCAGTCAGTAGGAGCCTTTCTCCTAGGGCTCTGGAGAGAGCAGCCTACGGGGTCACCAGGAAAAGAGACCTTGTACGTGGATGGCTGTGATTGGCTGAAAAACAGACCATTTAGTACTGATGAGTCTTTTGAGACTTAATGAGTATAAAGACGTAGTGATGAGACTGCTCAAAACATGAAATAACTTTAAATATCCAACTACCAGAATCTGACTGGATGAATATGTTGATGTAAACGCTGAGTACTTACATATGTGTACGTACACAGAGAGAACTGAGTCTCCCCGATCCAGTCCCCAAAAGTTAACCCTTCATAACTTTGGTGGTTATCTTTCTTTGCAAAAACACTGGATAAAAAATTGAATAAAGCCAGCTGGCATGGCTCAGTGGTTGAGCGTTGACCTGTGAACCAGAGGTCACGGTTTGATTCCCAGTCAGGGCACAAGTCCGGGTTGCAGGCTCCATCCCCAGTGTGGGGTGTGCAGGAGGCAGCCAATCAATGATTCTCTCTCATCATTGATGTTTGTATTTCTCTTTCTCCCTCTCCCTTCCTCCCTGAATCAATAAAAATGTAATAAATAAATAAATAATTGACTGGGATGTAACAGTACTATGGAATATTGTGTAGCAATTGAACATGATTTTCTTTTGTTTTGTTTTGTTGTCCTCACCTGAGGATATTTTTTCCATTGAGTTTTAGAGAGTGGAAAGTGAGGAGAGGGAGAGGGGGAGGGAGGGAGGGAGGGCGAGAGAGAGAGAGAAACATGGATGTGAGAGAAACACATCGATTGGTTGCCTCCCTCATGTGCCCTGACTGGTGCTGGGGGATCGAACCCACAACCCAGGTTTACACCCTTGACTGGGAATTGAGCCCGTTAACCTTTGGTGCGTGGGCTGATGCTCTATCCACTGAGCAACACCAG